CCCCGGGAGGGGAGGGGAGGGGAGGCGGCCCCGAGTGCCTCGTGCGGACGTTGCAGTGACAAAGGAGGCAGGGGGCGCGTTGGAGACGTGGGGTTCACTGGGACCCCTCCTCCTTGGAAAGCGCTACGCGGAGGGAAGGGGGGAGAGGGGAGCTGTTGGGGCCGCGGGCTCCTTTCTTCCATTCTTTTAATTCGGGGGGGGGTTCCTCGCCCCCCTGCTGCCCCTTTAGGGTGCCCTTTTGGCTGTGACTCCCTCATCCCCCCCCCCAATCCTCCACCCCGGTGCTGGCTACCCGCCTGTCCGCCTGCGCATCTGCTTGTCTTTGATGCTGACCAGAGCCAGCCGCGGTGCCGCCCCCAGGGCAGCTCGGGGTGGAGGCAGGGGGCTGTGCTTGCGGCCCGTAAACACCGGGGTTTGGTATTCCAGCAAGTCACAGAAGGAAGGGCCGGCGCCCCATTCCTTCACCCTAATGGACACGGTGGGATCCCCCAGGACCTGGGAGGGGCCGTAGTAGGGAGGGGGTTCAGTCTGGTTGCGCCGGAGACTCCAGGCCCTGGAGGCAGGAGGACCATCCTCCCGGGCCAGGTCCCGCCCCTGGAGCTCACAGCTGCTTCTGTGGCCCCCTCCCTTTCCAGCCCTCTGCTCCCCCCTCTCCTTACCTCCCTCTCACCTGGTTGCTTCTCCAATTTCTCTTTGAAATCGGAGGGACCTGGATTCTAAGCCCATTTCTGCTCCTGGGCAAGTCAGTTCCTCTGCCCGGAGCCCCAGGGTGCTCGCTTTGCAAAATACTCCCCGTCACAGCTCCCTTGCAAGCCTGTTGTGGGAGAGTTCGTGAAGCCAGGTGTATTGCGTGGGCATAACGTCTATAGGTATTGTTTCTCCAAGCCCTCTCACTCGCTGGTTGTCACACTGTGTGAATTAGAATAAAGGACCCATGCATCCCAGGTTACAGACGTCCTTTTCCTACAGCGCTCCCCACCCCTAAGAGCATTCTGTTTCCAAA